CATAACTTACATCCTGCTCATGAAGTAAAATTCGTTTAGCAATAAATCCGCCAAGAGATAAAATCTCAAAATTATCGCCATACATTCTTTTTACAACTAGCTTTTCTTTATATTCATTGATTTGTTTATTAATTTTGATATTACTAGAGCTTGACATGTTAAGTAATAATTGAGTAAATATATAAAGTGAATAAAAACTCAATCTGTAATTATTTATTGAGATATAGATATATTTTTGTATAATAATAAAAATGACAGCACGAGATATGCTAACAGAATGTGGTCTAAATTTTATTAATAAAACAGAAATATCGGAAGACTGGTTAAAGCTATCAAAACTTTATCCTGAAAAATATTTGAGACGCTATATATTAATACCTGATTATGATGTTAAAAACAAAGAGCAGTAGGAAAACTTCATATTCCGTGTTAAAAATAATTTATACATGAGAAAATAAATAACATATAATCTAGAATTTAGAGAATTTAAAAAACAATTAGTAGAAACTGCAATATTTATCTAATGTAGGAAAGCAAGTCGGCTTACCCATCTGTCATATTTAATTTTTTTGTCTAGCTTAGAGAATTGTGCATCCAAATTTGAGATAGACTCTTCTGATCTTGAGAATGTATAATTATTTATCAAGTTATTAGTTATTTTTTCGTAATAATATACATTATTAAATATACTTAACATGTTCGTTGATACTCTTGTAGAAGGAAAAATTCCAGTCAAAGCATTAATTGATACATCCTCGAAATTTAATACCATTGGTAAGAGGTTATTCAATAAGTTTGAAGAAGATTATAGGTTAGAAGGCGTATTTGGTGATGATTTGATAGGTAAAGAAATAAAATGCTTAGATCTACAATTTTGCTATAAAAGAAAGTGGCGAAACTTAGATAGCACCGAAGTAATAGACTTTCAAATTCACAAAAATTCATCATTCAATTTGGTGCTGGGACAAGAATGGTTATGGATGCATAAAGTAAAAATTATCTTTGGATTTTCTCCCAGAACTTATGAACACCATGATAAAATTGTAATAGATGATATGAGTATTCCATTGATCGAAGGAGATAGCAGGCCCATGGACGACTCGAAGTGTCATAAAATCAACTCTGGTAAAAATAACTCACCTAAGTCCAATCTAACAATAGAGGAGATCACAAATATATCCAAGAAACTTCTTTCAAACGCCAAAGATAATAAACACCAAAAGAGCCATCATGAGATATTTCGCAACATAACTCCTGTACCTCCACCATTCAGAAGATTAAATAATGATGTACCCAAAAATAGCAGAGCTAGTAAGAATAAGAAATATTCTAAAGTAGATTTAGGCGATGGGTGTAGAAAGCTTTCATTAAAAACGTACCTCAATTATATTTGGAAGTCAGTTCATTTTATAGAAGATGATATATATTATGGGATTTTTAAAAGACTTTCCAATATTGAGAATGAACTGAGATGTGGAAAGATAGAAGAATTGGTACGGCTAAATGATAATGAATCAGGTCCTTCTAATTCTCGCTCACGTCAAAATAAGAGTAAGAAAGATGGAGTCAAGTATTCTACGGATTTGGATACTGACACTTCTGATACAAACACTTCTTATTCCTTCAATTCAGGTTCAGAAGGTGTATGCAATGTCTTTAGTTGTAAAAAAGTGAAAATGTCACAAGAAATAAATTAATCATCTGATAAGTTTATTAATTGACATATAAAGCGTGACTTAGATTAACTATTTTTACATATTACTTTTCCATTACCTGTGATTGAAGCACTTTACAGGTTAGATCCACATGTTTTTTGTATAACTCAATTTCTCACATATACATCTCATTTGGGGGGAGGTTATGATATCACATTAATATGTTGCGAATACACTGTGACGTAATGACGTATTTATATGCCTAAAATATGAATATGCATGCGTAAATCGTCCGTTATAGAAATCAAGTTGCCCATTATAGAAATGAATAAGGGGGAGACGTCAAACAAAAAAAAATCGCCCGTTATAGAAATGAATAAGGCAAAGACATCTATAAAAAGGGAACTAGTAAAGAACATTATAAGATTTCTTCTCACGTTTTATGTCATAGTGATTCGTTTTATGTTCAAAAGTCTTGTTCTTAAATAAAAATGTCTAGTTCAGCCGATACCTTCGTCCCCCTATGTGACTTTTTAAAAATCGCTTCTCTAAGCAAAATAACTATTTCTAGAATTTTCACACAGCAATGGAAACTACATAAAATTCAATCGAAAGAAGAAGACTGCAAATATTTTATAAATTTATTACGAGAAGTTGAAAATGAAATTGTCGATAGCTTACATAAAGAACATATTGGATTATTACAAGATTCTGTTCGGGTTAAGTAAAATACATATTTTGATTTCATATATGTAAAAATGATGAATGAGATTCATATCTGAATTAGGTGTTAATAAGTATAATACAATCGAATTAAGTAGTTATATACTAGCGAGGGTTCTTTATCATTATACTTGTAATTAGTATAATGCGATCGAATTAAGCAGTTACATACTAGTGAGGGTTCTTTTTCATTATACTTGTAATGTTGACCGTAAAGAATAAAATCATAATGCCGGCTGGCGCTTACTGATTATGGCAAGTGCTTATTTGCGCAAAAATGATGTTCTAGAATTATATTAACTCGTTTCTGTTTATAGATCCACTACGCTTATGATGAGTTAATATCTTTGTTGGATACCGGTGAGTTACGTGGAAATTTTAAAGGAAATACGAACTGGAAGGATATGGCTTCTAATAACATAGCAATTTTAAAAAACATGATCAAAAGTGAAAAAACATATGCTCACAAGCATGTTTTTACGAAAATATCTAATGTGCGAGTTGAAGACTTGTCACAAGATGATCCGTTATACCTTGGCGTGATTGATCTTAGCTCAGATAAATTTAAGATTGCGGAGAATCAATATAGTGATCTTGCGGTATGGAATGAGTTATTTTTTAATTAAAAAATATACTAATGCTTTTATAATTGTTTATTAGGAGGGAAGGGTCAGTATAAGAGAGTTGAATAAAAGCGCAGATATAAAAGAAATATGTGAAGATTTCGTAGCAAGAAGAGATGAAATCCAACGGTTACGTAAATTTGTGATATCACCAGATGAGCAGGTGTCACATAGTCAGTGAGTTGAAAAAGAATATGAAAAAGAATGTGTAGCGAGAGGAATAACTGATGTGCTCATACAAGAAATAAAGTTAAATATATTTCGTAAGGTTTCTAATGGTTCAGAAAACTCTCTTGTAAAAACTATAGCTCGCCTAATAGATACTACGATGTACCGTTTTCCTATGAATTACGAGGTTGAGATCACAAGATCTGAGCGACAGAGTATAGCTAGCAAAAATCGCAAGATTCAGGAACAAAAAGGATCACGTGGAAACAAACCGGATCTTATGATTCGCGTAATTTTCCGTAACAAGTGGGAAGAAATAGTATATTTTGAAAGTGGTAAATGGAGTTGCAGTGGTAATAAAATTCGTAGCGATCGCAACAAATTAGTTCAATTCTGTATTGATGGATCTGATGAACTTACAAAAATATGTAAGAAAGAATCTCTTAATAAATCTTATATGGGGTTCGGTATTAATATTGCAGGTGAGTATCTTGAAATTAATGGGCTGATAAAAGAAAAAGGCATCAAGTACTACTTTCCAGTTTCAAGAGCGAAAATACCATTTAGCAAGGAATCCATTAATGAAGTGGATGAATTTGTCCACGCTTTATTAACCTTACAGATAAGTACTTTATTTTTTCTGAAATTAAGCAAATCATAATTATATACAAAATCATCGATCATTCCCACATACAATCCTAATACTTGTTTTAGAATGGGGTTATTATAAATGCGCAAACTATCACTAATAGCTTATATAAAAGACCCAGAAAGAATAGCGAGGGAAGTCCTTCATCATGTAAAAAAATCAAAAAATAACTTCCTATCCTTTTATATGGTTTAATTTTTACTTCGCTACATATGCACTCTGATGACTAGAATATTATTGGAATTTAGTAGAATCTTAATTAAGAATATGGGGAGCTTTACTAAATCGCTTTTGTAGATGTATTACAAGATTTTCATACCCGAAATGGATCCATGTACCCAATATATGATTTTTTCTATTGTGGAAAAAGTGATCGGCATTACAATTCGTAAAGCGCACGTGATTTTTAATGTACTAGTATAAGGTCCTAATTTCCGATATGTGACTATATAAAGTAAATAACATAAAATATATACGTTCACATCACATTACACAAAAAATAACACATGGTATATTATACATCCTGTCATGTATTTTATCATATATTTATTTAATAAAGATTTCAGTTAGATCCACATGTTTTTCATGCAACTTAATTTCTCAGATTTGATTAATTTCATATTTTTCGCTGATCATTTATTTTACGATTCCGCTATAATAAAAATGAGAGCATACGAAAATATGTAAAGGTCTGTAACTCAAGAACTTATTTGTTTTATGTGGGCATTATGCTGAGAATGGAAAAAGTCTCAACTACTAATCTAAAAAATCTCGCATATAGCATCCTAAAAAACTTCAACGACGATGTAGTCAAAAATA